GGAATGTCTGCTTCTTCTAATCCCTAATTTGGTAATGATGAAAGGAGGGAAGATGATGGCAGCTAGTACTCATTGAGCACTTATTCTTTTCTAGGAAAGGTACCACATGACATGCCATATTTCTTTTAATCTTATTAATAACCCAGTGAGGGAGATATAATCATCCCGTATTTTACAGATAAGGAAAGTGAGTCACAGAGAAGGAAACTTCTCAAGTCAGTAGCTATTAAGAGGCATGCTGGGATTACAATAGAAGTCGGCCTGAGTACAGAGTCTCAGATCATAAGCAGCACCCCACTACATCACATGCACTTTCCTAGAGTCAAAATGCCAAGGAAATGTCCTGTGAGAGGGCTTCTTAAGAAATATGGAATCTGTTACCACTTTTATAAAAAGGTGTTTACCTAACAGCTATAAATCCCCCATAAAGGGAATAATTTTTAAAAATCTTTCATACTGCTCCTGAGAGTTTTGTTTTGTTTTGTTTTGCTTTGTTTGTTTTTCTGAGACAAAGTCTTACTTTAACGCCCAGGCTGGAGTGTAGTGGCATGATCTCTGCCACCACAACCACTGCCTCCTGGGTTCAAACAATTCTCCTGCCTCAGCCTCCCAAGTAGCTGTGATTACAGGCAACTGCCACCACACTTGGATAATTTTTGTATTTTTAGTAGAGATGGAGTTTCACCATGTTGGCCAGGCTGGTCTTGAACTCCTCACCTCAAGTGATCGCCTGCCTCAGCCTCCCAAAGTGCTGAGATTACAGGCCTTAAGAGTTTTTTTAATGAGTGAAAAGATATTTATTTCCTATGGTTAATAAACTGGACACCTACAGTGGCTTCTTAGATGATTATATTGAGATAATTACTATCTCAACAGGGAAAATAAAAGAAATCACTTAGAAAAAGGAAAAGCTTAGGAGTATTGCCTCTCGTTTTTAGGAAGGATTGTTTCTTTATTTTACATTTTCTTTTTTTTCGTTTTTTTGAGTCAGAGTCTCACTCTGTCACCAGGCACACCACGCTGGAGTGCAGTGGCGCCATCTCGGCTCACTGCAACCTCTGCCTCCAGGGTTCAAACAATTCTCCTGCCTCTGCCTCCGAGTAGCTGGGACTACAGGCACACGCTACCATGTCCAGCTAATTTTTGTGTTTTTAGTAGAGATGGGGTTTCACCATGTTGGCCAGGTTGGTCTCCATCTCTTGACCTCATGATCCGCCCACCTCAGCCTCCCAAAGTGCTGGGATTACAGGCGTGAGCCACCACGCCTGGCCTTATTTTACATTTTCTAAAAATTCTGTAGTTTTTGTTTCCGATGTTGATAATCAGGAAGCAAAAAGTTAAAGACAACTGGGGAAAAGGATCTTCTATGTTGTGAGCAATCGGAGATCTACAGCTGTGTGGAAAATAAAACCTTGTAGAACCCATCGAGGCAGACTGAGGGGCCCAAGAACCTTAGAAGCTTTTCTTGTCTGTTAAGATAGGCTAACCCCATGAACAAGCATGCCTTTAGAACAAGAAATCTGCACTAGGACATTCATAGCATTCCTGATGACTCACATTGCTTCAAGTACAGTGAATTATTCTAATAGGCATAGCATGAGTACAAAGTGACCTAGTTGTGAATATTTAGGCTGGGAAGCTATGAGAGGAAATTGATGTCATGGACAATTTGTAAGAGCAGCATATTCTCATATAGATGAAATGCTGGGGAGAACAGCAGGCTGCTTCTCACTAGCTAGTTTTCTGTATGTCCCCAGAATGTCTAATGTCTTCTCACATTAGAGTTCTTAAAGAAAAGCTCTGTTACCTTTTACTGAAAATTCCGGGCTGAAATGCTATCATTAAAAGAAAAAAAATTAATATGCCCAATACTAAGCTTCTAAATACTAGGATATAGCAGTGAATAGGAGAAGATCTCAGCTGTCATAAACTTTACATTCCAGGTATACATCATTTTTGTTGTCAATAATTAGAGATTGTATTACTCTAGCTATATAAATCTTGCCCTTTATTCAGCTAAAAGTGTGTTATGATACTTTTTTGCAGTGGTGTGATCATAGCTCACTGCAGCCTTGAACTTCTGGGCTCAAGTGATCCTCCAGCCTCAGCCTCCCAAGTTGCTGGGAGTAAGGGTATGAACAACTGCACGTGGACCTCTTTTTTCTTTTATAACTAGCTTTTCTTTCTCGTTAATAAGGTGCTTCAGTTTTTGCCATTTGCTTAGTTTTCAAGGTACTTATTGCTTTTTGTTTCCAGTGTTTCTACAGATTTGTCAAATGTTTCCCATAAGATTTATAAATGTTCAAGGACATCAGATTATCCAGATTATCAATTCCGTGCTTCCCCCTGACTCCACACCCCCAAAAAGACCTCTCTTCTGCTTCCCTACATCTTCATTCTTGAATCTAGCCTGCCGATACCCACCACATGTCTGGGTTGGCCCTCTATTTCCTCTTAACACTGTGTTACTGCATTCCTTATACATTCTTCATGTTTCCCTAAGAAAGATTGTTTGAGAATAACTAAGTAGGCTGGGCTTCCCTCACACTTGATTGATAGCTTGGCTTTGCAGAGAGATCTTGATTGAAAATAATTTTTCATAAGAATTTTGAAGCCTGTTGAAAAATCTGATTCAATTATGGCTCCCTTTCCTTTATGTGCAAATTTTTTCCCTTCTCTCTGGGTTCTTTTAGGATTATTTCTTTATTCAGTAAAGAGATATTTCACAATGATGAACCTTTGAAATGAGTCTTAAATTTGTTTTGCTTGGTGCTTGGTAGAATTTTTCAATTTGAAAACTCATTCAATTCGGTGAAAGCTTGATTTACAGCAAAAGCTCTGTTAATTGACTTCTGCTAAATTGGCTTGCTAGATTAAGCCACACCTTCCACATTTGTTGTAGTAATTATTTAAATTAATTAAATGTTGTATCTACCTATCAATATGGGTATGAAAAGAGAGTTGTTACCAAGAAAACAAAGCTGAAAATGTTGGGAAAAAATTGATAAAGGCAAGTTGCTTATGTAAAAAATAGAAAATCTAGAATAATTCAGCACTCAGATTACTTTAAAGCGGGTTATTTTTCTATCATTAAAAGAAAAAGACTAATATGACCAATACTAACCTTTGAAATACAAGGATGTAGCAGTGAATAGGATAAGATCTCAGCTGTCATAAAGTTTACATTCTAGGTATACATCATTTTTGTTGTCAATGGTTAGAGATTGCATTACTCTGACTATATAAATATTTCCCTTTATTCAACCCAAAGTGTGTTGTGATACTTTTTTGCAGTGGTGTGATCATAGCTCACCGTAGCCTTGAACCTCTGGGCTCAAGAGAGGGAAACCTTACCTGAACAATAACAGCAACAACAGCCTGATTAAAGAAGACTAAAGAGGCATAACAAATAGATGTAATATGTAATGCAGAACATATTTAAAGGACATTTTTAGGACAGTAAAGACATTTTTTAGGACCAATGATAAAATTTGAATATGGGCTGAGATAACATATTCAATGTTGAGATAACAAAGTCATCAATGATAAATGTCCTAATTTTGATAATTATACATGATTATGTAAGAGAATATCCTTGTTCTTAGGAAATTCACCCTGATGTGTTTAGGGGTAAAGGGGAATAATGTCTCCAATATATTTTCAAAGAGTTGAGATAACTGATATAAAAAAATGAAAATATAAAGCAAAGCAAATAGGGCTAAGTAGAAACAATAGATTAATCTGGGTAGAAGGTATACAGAAGTTCTTTGTATTGATTATGCAGTTTTCAGGTAAGAATGCAGTGATATAAAATCCAGAGTTGTAAAATGCTTAAGGTAAGTATTTATTATGCTAATCTACTCTGACTAATTATTTGGATAATCTCATTTTCTCTTAACTGACCAACCTTGGACCTTCTAGGCAGAATAGAGTATGGTGCCACAAGTGAATGTTTGGGATCAAAGGTTACATGTGGGAGAATAGAGCAAGGAGACTGAAGAGAGAGGCAGAGACCAGATGGTGAAGATGTACCCAATTTAAAGGACTTGACCTTTGGTGAGCTGCTGAAATATTGTTAAGCATGGGAGTGATGTGAACCCATTTATATTTCAGAAAGATCACCCTGGCAGCTGGAGTGCGGAATGAATAGGAGAGGGAAGGGAAAGATGCAGGATCGAGGCTACTGGAGTCACTGACAAGAGGAGTAATTGGGTCTTGCATTAAATCTATGGCAGTAGGGATAAAATGAAGTGGAGGGATGCATGTTCTTCAGAGGTGGAATCATCAAACAGATAACTGAGGAGTGACAGGGAGGAAGTGGGAACACTAAACGCTGAATCCCAAGTTGCCTACTTAGGTCACTAGAATGTGATGATACCATTAACCTAGTGATGCAGGATTTTTCTTGGTCACTCTGTGGGCCGGAAACTTCTGGTTGGCATGCCCCTCATGAGCCTTGCTGGAGTACAGGTTCATGGTAGGAGATGCCCTGCCTACTCTGGCGCGGATCTTGTGGCCATAGTGACTGCATGCTCAGGCCATGGAGGGAGGAGGTGTGTGAGTGAGCAAATGTGAGTGAGTATGGGGTCTGGCCGGCTGCTCCAGGAGCAGGCTCTGTGCTGGGCTGTGCCTGGACCAGGCAGGTTGCAAGTGACTCCCAAGGTGGACTCCCATGTCCAGATGGAGGGGAATGTGGTGGTCCCAAACAGGAGTGCCTGTGACCCTGAGGCCCCAGAGGGAATGTGATGATAGCTCTTTCAGTCCACCATCCACAGTCTGAAGGATGACTGTGTGTTAAGAGCTCTCTGTCAGTCTCATGAACCTGCTCTGGCCTGCGGCCCTGAGGCTGGTTCAGCCCCAGCACTGCTTCCAGTTGTGTCGGGTGGCTGATGGGCTACAGTGTTACTGCCTTCTTCATGGCATTCAGCAGGGTCCTGAGGTTTTTTTTTTTGGCAAGTAAAAAGTTTAATTTTTCTTTTTTTTCTCGTCCATGCCAGGGCAGAAGGAAGTTTAATTTTTCTTTCAGGATTTAGTGGAGTCCATTAATGGATACCGGAGCAAAGGTCAGCCCAGGGTAAGGCAAGTCCAGGAGGAAGCTCACCCTGCCCTACAACAGCCCCAGAGCTCAGAACAGGTGGTAAGCCTGCCATGGTTTGCTACTGGGCAGCACACTAGACCAACTTGGAAATATGGAAGAGTAAATCAGTGTTCCCTCAGCCATCCCCAAGTTTATACACAGGTATAGCAGCCCTACTATGAGTCAACAATCATTTCTGACTGGCAGTAGGAACAATTTGCATTTATGGAAAGCAAACTGGAGAGGGTAGCCTAAGTCCACACTGCCCATGTTACTAGCCTTTGCAATGTGAAAAATCATGGTGAGGTAGGTCGGGCAGGTTTTATCCTCCCCACAAAGGTGAGCCTTTTCTCCACAGCCAGCACCTGGCAGGGCGGGAGAGATGGCAGAACCAAAGCTTCTTATTACCCTCCAGCAGGCAAGAGTGGGTCAGTGGGATCATAGACTAAAACAAGACATTGTGTGAGCTGGTCCATCACTCAGAAGCAGGGTCCTGAAGGAAGCTGGAGTGGCAAGAGTTAGGTAGGGAGAATAGGTGGTATGGCCCCTCAACCAGACAATTAAAATTAGCCTCCACCTTAGCTGCCCACCCCTAGTGAGTTCTGCCTCAGCTTCTTGACTAACCCCTTGTAGGATGCCCTCCAAGGCAAGACTCCTGGAGGGGACAACCCCACCCTGAGCTATCCTCATTTGAAGGTATAGTAGTTCGTGGGCACAAAGAGCATCTTGCTGACCACAGCCATCTGCTGCTTCTGCTGCACCTCTACCAGCAGCTTTGTTTCTGGACGACTGTACTTGCAGGGCACATAACCCATCACCACATTCTTCTTCAGAGAGGGTGAGGGGCAGCCACTAGTCACAGTACCAGTCATGGTACCCTCCATGTTCAGGATGGGACTGTGCGCCCGCCTCAGGGCCCCCTCACACATCAAGCCCACACGCTTCCGCTAAACCTTGCCCTTCAGCTGGGGAACAGTGACCTTGGCTCCAGGGAAGTCCATAGCAGATTGACGGCACTTCCCCAGTGTCCAACTGAGGCTGCCCTCCACAGGTGTAGTGTGTTCATCAATGTCATTCCCATACAGGCAGAGGCCTGCCTCCAGGCGCAGGCTATCCCTCGCGGCCAACCCTGCCAACTTCACCTCTGGGTTTTCCAGAAGAGCTGTTGCCAGGTGAACTGCTCCCACTGCCAGCACCGAGATCTCCACACTGTCATCTCTTGTGTAGCCACAGCAGGTCACGCGGCAACCAGACACACCAAACACCTCCATCACAGCACTGGTCATGAAGGACAGTTTCCTCAGGTCATCTGCCACGCCACCCTGTAGCACCTGGGCTGCAATGGGGCCTCGCAGGGCTAGCAGGCATTATCCAGCACCTCCAGGCCCACATCTCTGCCCTGGTTCTGAAGCTCCCTGACCTTGTCCTGCATGAGGGCCTAAGGCCCCAGAGGGGATGTGATGATAGCTCTTTCAGTCCACCATCCACAGTCTGAAGGATGACAGTGTGTTAAGAGCTCTCTGTCAGTCTCATGAACCTGCTCTGGCCAGCGGCCCTGAGGCTGGTTCAGCCCCAGCACTGCTTCCAGTTGCGTGGGGTGGCTGATGGGCTACAGTGTTACTGCCTTCTTCATGGCATTCAGCAGGGTCCTGAGTTCTTGGCCTGCATCCACGAAGAATGAGGTTATGCTGACAGGCACGGGTAAGTAAGGTAAAGAGTTTTATGGAGTGACAAAACAGCTCTCAGCAGAGAGGGACATGAGGATGGTCCACTACCCAAAGTCAGGTGGTCTGTGTCCCAGTGTGGCTGAGTTTGGTGTGGTTTTTTTATTTTTTAAGACAGGGTTTCACCATGTTGGCCAGGCTGGTCTTGAACTCCTGACCTCAGGTGATCTGCCTGCCTCGGCCTCCCAAAGTGCTGAGATTGCAGGCATGAGCCACCACGCCCTGCCGAGTTTGGGGTTTTTATAGGCACACAATGGGAGAGATTTGGGCTGTAGGTAGCTTTAGAAAATGCAACATTTAATTGGTTCAAAGGCCTTATTCAGAAAGAATCAATCGGGAAAGAGCGAGTAAACAGGAATGCAAGTTCTCACTCTGGTCCAGACTTCGTCTGGAAGCAGCAGCTTGGTTTTCAGGTTTTAAACTGTCTTTGGTTTGAAGGTAGCGTTTCACCGGGGACCTGTTCCTGCCTACCTAGGATTTGTCTGCCTCCTGTCACTATCACTAGTAGGGACTTCAGTAGGAGAAACAGTAGGGGCGGAGTGGGCAGGTAGGGCAAGGTGATGACTTCTGTTTAGATCATGAGGAACTGAAGGTTTACTGGACGTTGGAGGAGTGAACATGAGGTTATCTGCAGGACATCCTCTCCTCAGTTCATGGCACACCAGAAATGTTTATGTTAGAATTGATGAGTATGGGACTTCTACCAGATTGGTTTCTGGTTTAGCTCTACTGATTTTCTCTCCCATCAATAGTACAAAAGGATTTGTTGGCATTTCCTCATATCCTTGCCAACACTGGTGTTTTCTGACTTCCAAATTTTTGCTAATCTGGAGATATCTAATGTTAGTTTATATTTTATGGTTTGCAGTAAGTCTAGGTTTTTTTCTTTTTTTCTTTGCTTCTTGCTTGCTTTATCTTTATTTTATTTTATTTCGCTTATTAGCCACTCGAGTTTCCTCTTTTGTAAATTGTCTGGGTATATTTTCACTTGCTCATTTTTCTATTGAGTTTCCAATTCTTTTCTTGGGGATTTAAAAAAGTTTTGGAGTATTTCAGATAGTAACCTCTTATCAACTTTACATACTGCTAGTATGTTTTCCTAATTTTCCATCTGTGTATTTTGCTTGTAAAATCTCTAAGTTTGATATAGTCAAAGTGTAGTATTTTTTTTCCTATAAGGTGTATGCTTTTATTGTTTTATAGGACCTCCTCACAGGTCCTGCAGATACTATTTTCTATTAATTGTATAGTTATACCTTTCCCATTTTTGTCTTTAGTTTTTCTGTAATTCACCATTGCATATGGGGGTATGAGAGTATCCAATTATTTTTCTAGGTAAACTGGTTTTCCCAAAGCAATCTTTAAGAAAATCTTTCCATTTTATTTGTTATTACATAACAAATTCTCATGGGCCTATTTTTGAACTCTCAATTTTGTTCCATTGGTTTATTTCTTAACACTGAGGAGAGCAAAAATCACCTGGTGACCATACAGCAGCTTTGGAGACAAAAACTCCTATCTGAGGAATTTAGAAGTATGATGAAGGGAGCAAAGATTACCTGGTGGCCATCAAGTAGGCCATTTAGAGACCAAAAGACCTCTTTATTTGAGGAATTCTAAAAGTAATTAGATACTTCCCTATTATCTAAAGTCAGCACCTGGTACCAGGCCTCTTTTCAACTTAACATTTGTAAGTAACTAGAATTTCTATACATCTCTGGATGCACACATGGCAAATTCATTGTGCAACCCTTGATGACATTAAGGCATCAGAATGTCTACAAATATAATCATTTATCATATAAACTACCCTTCATCTCCTGCTTTGAGGTCCATAAATGCTCCTAAGGAAAATTCATCATGGTGGGCTCAGTTGTTTTGCTAAGGCACTCCCTACACCCCATCTGCAGTGTTCTTTCTAGTAAAACTTCCCTTTTTAAAACCTATACCGCTGTTAGTAAATCCTTCTTATTAACCTGTGAGTCAACCACTTTCCAATGCCAGGGCTCTGACACCTTGCCTGGCAAATACCACCACGCTGGATTAATTATTGCGATTTAAAAATATGCCTTCACATCTAGTAAGGTGAGCATCTCTTCCTTGCTCTATTTTTCTCCCCAGATTTATTTAGCTGTTTGTAGACATATATTTTACCAATCACTTATAGGAAATGTACTTACTAGATCTTTTTAAAAATAGGCCAGGCATAGGCTGTGTGCATTGGCTCATGCCTGTAATACTAGCATTTTGGGAAGCCAAGGTGGGTGGATCATTTAAGGTCAAGAGTTTGAGACCAGCCTGGACAACATGGCATAACCCTGTCTCTACAAAAATTAGCTGAGAGTGGTGACACATGCCTGTGGTCCCAGCTACTTGGAAGGCTGCGGTGGGAGGATCACTTGAGCCGGAGTAGCCAAAATCGTGCCACTGCAGTTCAGTCTGGGTGATAGAGTAGGACCCTGTCTCAAAATAAAATAAAATAAAATAAAAATCCAGCTGTAATCCCAGCTACTCAGGAGGCTGAGGCAGGAGAATTGCCTGAACCCAGGGGGCGGAGGTTGCGGTGAGCCGAGATTGCGCCATTGCACTCCAGCCTGGGTAACAAGAGCGAAACTCCGTCTCAAAAAAAAAAAAAAAAAAAAAAAAAATCCAGTAGTCTGTCTCAAAGTAGTGAGTTTACTTTGATTGAAACTAAAAGTAATATTATATATGGATTGATTTCTATATTCATATTTACTAAACTTTATTTTTCCTTTCCTGCCTTATATTAAATTGAATTTTGTTTTGTTTTGAAATTTATCCTATTTTTAACTAAGACAAATGTTTGTGCATATCTTGTCTAACTCTTAAAAAACTTATCAGCATTGCTGTCTTCTCCTCTTCCTCCTCCTCCTCCTCCTTTTTTAGAATTTTAGAGACAGAGCTTTGCTTTGTTAGTTACCCAGGCTGGAGTGCAGTGGTGCAATCATAGCTCACTGCAGCCTCCAACTCTTAGTCTCAAGCAGTCCTCCTGCTTGAGTCTACCAAGTAGCTGAAACGACAGGTGCACAGCACCACATTCAACAAATTTGTTTTATTTTATTTTTTGTAGAGACAGCATTTGCTTTGTTACCCAGGCTAGTCTTGAACTCCTGGGCTTAAGTGATCTTCCTACCTTGGCCTTTCAAAGTGCTGGCATTACGCATATGAGCCACCGAGCCCATCTGCTGTCTTCCTTCTGAACAAGATAAACATGTTAGCATGCTTTCACTTCCCTATTCTCCCTCTCTTGATCCCACTCCATTCCTCTCCTTGTCCCTTGCTCAGATATGATAGTATTGTCTAGATTTTTAGTTTGAATTGCTAGGGACTGTAATGATGATGACTTTTTTTCAGAAACCATCTATCTCACCAGTATAATTGTTAATTTTATGCGTCAACTTGGTTAAGCCACAGGACCCAGATATTTTATTAAAAAACAGTCTAAATGCCACTTTGAAGGTATTTTTTGTGTTTTTCTTTTTCTTTTTTTATATGCACTGGCTAGTTACTATGCTGAAGATATTTTTTAGATTAACATTTAAATCTGTAGTATATAGGAAACACAGACTTTACTGTACCCAACTCTTCTGACACCAGACATGTGGCAGTTTTTCCTATACCAATTCTGCAACTATCTATCCAGGCATGGGCTGTGTGCATTGGCTCATGCCTGTAATGCTAGCATTTTGGGAGGCCAGGGTGGGTGGATCATTTAAGGTCAAGAGTTTGAGACCAGCCTGGTCAACACAGTGAAACCCCGTCTCTATTAAAAATACAAAAATTAGCCAGATGTGGTGGCACATACCTGTATTCACAGCTGCTTGGGAGACTGAGATGTGAGAATCATTTGAACCCAGGAGGCAGAGGACTTTTTTTTGTTTTGAGATGGGGGTCTCACTTGTGTTGCACAAGCTGGATTCAAACTCCTGGGGTCATATGATCCTCCTGTCTCAGCCTCCCAAGTCGCTGTGACTATAGGTGCACACCATCATGACTAGTTAATGGTTTTATGAAGGCATGATTAATTAAGTTGTTGGTCGTTGGTAATTAAGCTCAATCTCCAGGCCCTCTCCTTTTTCTGGAGGTAGGGAAGTGGGGGAAATGGGGCTGGAACTCCCAGCCTTCTATCATACGATTGGTTCCCTTGGTAAAGAGTTCCCCCTTCCATCCTTGGGGACTTTCCAAAACTCATCTCATTAACATAAACTCAAGTGTGTTTGAAAAGGACTTATTACAAATGACAAAATACACTCTTTTAGTCTTTCACAGACTTTTAGGAGCTCTGTGCTAGGGGATGAAGATATATAAAAATATATTTAATATATATATTTTTTCTGTATATATAAAATATATATAAAAATATATTTCTTGTTATATCATAACATCACAAGTAGACTTTGAGTCAAACAGTTTACTTTCTATATGTGGGTGGGCTTCACCCAATTGGGTGAAAGTCTTTTTTTTTTTTTTAAGACAGGGTTTCACCATGTTGGTCAGGCTGGTCTTGAACTCCTGCCTCAGGTGATCCACCCACCTTGGCCTCCAAAGTGCTTGGATTACAGGCGTGAGCCACCATGTCTGGCCAGGTGAAAATCTTAAGAGAAAAACTGATGGTGGTTCCCTCAGGAAGGAGGAATTACACCTCCAGACTGCCTTAGGACTTAAACTGCAGCATATACTCTTCCCCGGGTCTCCAGCCTGCTGGCCTGTCCTGCAGTTTAGATTTCCTAGCTCACATGATTGCATGAGCCAATTCCTTAAAATCTCTCTCTCGTTCTTTACACATGCACATATTCTCACACACACATATCCTTTTGATTCTGTGTCCTTAGAAAGATGACATTTTTTCCTGAACTGTTACAGAATGATATAACCCTGATTCTAATTCTACGTTTACGAGATAGGGTTTGGGCTCTCAAATCTGACTGGCTGGGTTTGAATCCTGTCTCAGTCACTTACTGCATGATTTTTAAACATTTTTAGTTGAAACATAATATAGATATAGAAAACTGAGAAAGGCTGGGGCTGGTGCCTCATACATGAAATCCCAGCATTTTGGGAGGCTGAGGCAGGAGGATTGCTTGAGACCAGGGGTTTGAGACTAGCCTGGACAACATAGTGAGACCCTGTCTCTACCAATAAAAAATAAAATTTAGCGGCCAGGCGCGGTGGCTCAAGCCTGTAATCCCAGCACTCTGGGAGGCTGAGGCGGGTGGAGCACGAGGTCAAGAGATCGAGACCATCCTGGTCAACATGGTGAAACCCTGTCTCTACTAAAAATACAGAAAATTAGCTGGGCATGGTGGCGTGTGCCTGTAATCCCAGCTACTCAGGAGGCTGAGGCAGGAGAATTGCCTGAACCCAGGAGGCGGAGGTTGCGGTGAGCCGAGATCATGCCATTGCACTCCAGCCTGGGTAACAAGAGTGAAACTCCATCTCAAAAAATAAAATAAAATAAAATAAAAAATTTAGCAAGGTATGGTGGTACGTGCCTATAATCCTAGCTACTAGGGAGGCTGAAGTGGGAGGATAGCTTGGATTCAGGAGCTCAAAGTTTCAGTGAGCTGTGATTGTACCACTATACTCTAGCCTGGGCAGCAGAGAAAGACCCTGTCTCACAAAGGAAAAACAAACAAACATATAATAAAGGTACAGCTTGATGAATTTTCAAAACAGAACACGACAGTTAAAGGAGCATGATAAAAAACTAAAACATTATTAGGACCCAAGAAGCTACCCTATGCCCACTTTCAGTGACCACTCATACTCAATAAAGAAAACCACAACTGACTTCTAAAAAATATAGATACATCTCACCAATTTTTATACTTTATATACAGTGTATATTATTGTGTGTGTCTTGTTATGCTCAACCTTTTGTTTGTGAGCATCATTTATGTGGCTGTATGTAGTAGTAGTTTGTTGTTGTATAGTATTTGTATATAGTATTTTATTATGTGACAGTAAATCTACTGATGGATTTTACTGGTGATGAGCATTTGGGTATTTTCCAGTTTCTGCTTGGTTTGCCATCATGAATAGAGCTACCATGAACATTCTAGTGCATGGCTTCTGGTGAGCATAGGTAGGCATTCCTGTTGAGTATATAACTAGCAATGGAATTGCTAGTTCATGAGGTATACATATTTCAGCTTTAGTTAGTACTGTTAAACAGGTTTCCAAAGTAGTTGTGCCACTTTACACCCCCATCTCCAATGCATAAGAGTTTCAGTTTGGATGTGGTTGCTCACACCTGTAATCCCAGCATTTTGGGAGGCTGAGGCAGGAGGATTGCTGAGCCCAGGAGTTCAAGACCAGCGTGGTCAACATAGGGAGATCCTGTCTCTACCAGAAAGAAAAAAATTAGCTAGGTGTAGTGGTCTGTGCCTGTATGTAGTTCCGTCTACTCAAGAGGCTGTGGTGGGAGGATCTCTTGAGCCCAGGAGGTCAAGGTTGCAGTGAGCCATAATCACATCACTGCACTCCAGCCTGGGCAATAGAGTAAGACCCTGTCTCAGAGAAAAAAAAAGTTTCAGTTGCTCCACAGTCTCACTTACATGT